ATTGATGTACTGTACACACTCAACTGCACTGATGTACCAAATACACTACGACCCACACTGATGGCCACACCCACGACCACACTGATGTACTGTACACACACGACCACACTGATGTACTGTACACACCCACGACCACACTGATGTACTGTACACAACTCACGACCACACTGATGTGCACTGCACACTGATCCATCAAACACTCCATACCGTACACACCTACAACCACACTGATGTACACACACACTCACCACGACCAAACTGATGTACTGTACACACCCACGACCACACTGATGTAATTGCACACACTCCACGACCAACCCTGATGTAACGTACAAACCCACGACCACACTGATGCAAACCATGATAACACTGAATACTGTACACATCCACGACCACACTGATGTACCGTACACACCCACGACTACATTGATGTACTGACACACCCACGACCACACCACGATGTACTGTACACACTACGACCACACTGATGTACTGTACACCCACGACCACACTGATGAACTATACACACCACACTGATGTACTGTACACACTCACGACCACACTGATGAACTGTACACACTCACACCACACTGATGAACTGTACACACTCACGACCACACTGATGAACTGTACACACTACGATCACACTGATGTACTGTACACACTTACAACCACCAACAATGTCCACACACTCACAACACACTGATGTACACCCACGACCACACTCGATGTACTGTACACACTCACACCCACACTGATGTACTGTACACCCACGACCACACTGATGTACTGTACACACCACGACCAAACTGATGTACTGTACACACTCACGACCACACTGATGTACTGTACACTCCACGACCACACTGATGTACTGTACACCCACGACCCGCACTGATGTACTAAATACACTCACGACCCACACTGATGTACTGTACACACCCACGACCACACTGATGTACTGTACACACTGACGACCACACTGTTGTACTGTACACCCACGACCACACTGATGTACTGTACACACCCACACCACACTGATGTACTGTACACACTCGACCACACTGATGTACTGTACACACCAAGAACCCCACTGATGTACTGTACACACCCACGACCACACTGATGAACTGTACACACTCACGACCACACTGATGAACTGTACACACTCACGACCACACTGATGTACTGTACACACCCACGACCACACTGATGTACTGTACACACTCGACCACACTGATGAACTGTACACACTCACGACCACACTGATGAACTGTACACACTCACGATCACACTGATGTACTGTACACACTTACAACCACACTAATGTACTGTACACACTCACGACCACACTGATGTACAGTACACCCGACCACACTGATGTACTGTACACACTCGACCCACACTGATGTGTACTGTACACACCCACGACCACACTGATGTACTGTACACTCACGACCACACTGATGTACTGTACACACTCACCACCTGATGTACTGTACACACCCACGACCACACTGATGTACTGTACACCCACGACCCACACTGATGTACTAAATACACTCGACCCACACTGATGTACTGTACACACCCGACCACACTGATGTACTGTACACACTGACGACCACACTGTGTTGTACTGTACACCCACGACCACACTGATGTACTGTACACACCCACGACCACACTGATGTACTGTACACTCACGACCACACTGATGTATATACACCCAAGACACTGATGTATTGTACACACCCACGACCACACTGATGAACTGTACACTCACGACCACACTGATGAACTGTACACACTCACGACCACACTGATGTACTGTACACACCCACGACCACACTGATGTACTGTACACACTTACAACCACTGATGTACACACTCACCCACGACCACACTGATGTACTGTACACACCCGACCACTGATGTACCTACACACACGACCACACTGATGTACTGTACACACACGACCCACACTGATGTACTGTACACACTCACGACACACTGATGTACTGTACACACCCGACCACACTGATGTACTGTACACACCCACGACAACACTGATGTACTGTACACACACACGACCCACACTGATGTACTGTACACACTCACGATCCACACTGATGTACTGTACACACCCACGACCACACTGATGTACTGTACACCCACGACAACACTGATGTACTGTACACCACACTACGATGTACTGTACACACCCACGATCACACTGATGTACTGTACACACCCACGACAACACTGATGTACTGTACACACCCGACCACACTGATGTACTGTACACACCCACGACCACCCTGATGTACTGTACAAACCGACCACACTGATGTACTGTACAAACTCATGACAACACTGAAATACTGTACACATCCGACCACACTGATGTACTGTACACACCCACGACTACATTGGTACTGTACACACCCACGACCACATGATGTACTGTACACACCTGACCACCCTAGTAGCGCACACACCCACACACACTGATGTACTGTACACACTCACGACCACACTGATGTACTGTACACACCCACGACCACACTGATGAACTATACACACCCACGACCACACTGATGTACTGTACACACTCACGACCACACTGATGAACTGTACACACTCACGATCACACTGATGAACTGTACACACTCACGACCACACTGATGAACTGTACACACCCACGACCACCCTGATGTACTGTACACACCCACGACCACACTGATGTACTGTACACACTCACGACCACACTGATGTACTGTACACACCCACGACCACACGATGAACTATACACACTCACGATCACACTGATGTACTGTACACACTCACGACCACACTGATGAACTGTACACACTCACGACCACACTGATGAACTGTACACACTCAACCACACTGATGAACTGTACACACTCACGATCACACTGATGTACTGTACACACTAACGACCACACTGATGTACTGTACACACGTACGACCACACTGATGTACTGTACACACTCAAGGCCACACGAAGTACTGTACACACTCACGACCACACTGATGTACTGTACACACTAACGATCACACTAATGTACTGTACACACCCACGACCACACTGATGTACTGTACACACCCACGACCACAGTGATGTACTGTACACACACAAGACCACACCGATGTACTGTACACACTGACGACCACACTGATGTACTGTACACACGTACGACCACACTGATGTACTGTACACACTAACGACCACACTGATGTACTGACACAGTACGACCACACTGATGTATTGTACACACTCACGACCACACTGATGTACTGTACACACGACGACCACACTGATGTACTGTACACACTCACGACCACACTGATGTATTGTACACACTCACGACCACACTGATGTACTGTACACACTCACACACACTGATGTACTGTACACTCATGTACTGTACACACCCACGACCACACTCATGTACTGTACACACTCACGACCACACTGACGTACTGTACACACTCACGACCACACTGATGTACTGTACACACACTCACGACCACACTGACGTACTGTACACACTCACGACCACACTGATGTACACCCGACCACAGTAGTGTACACACCCACGACCAGTAATGTACACACACACGACCACACTAATGTACACTCTCCCAAAAAGTATCTTTTCCCCGTGGCCTGATGTATTTGGAAATGAACACAATAACATATGAACAGCACTCTTGGTTCGGTTGGTATTTCTGATTGTGAGTTGCACCTTCCGTTCTCTCTTCTTACACCTGATACTCACCATGATATCTGCAGTATACCGCCTATTATCTACATAATGTAATGAAATAGGATGAATTGTGATACCATATGCACAACCAATAACGTCATGAGTAACCCCACTGATTTATGCACCTTAGATACTATTTCAGCCCCAGGGGATGGGTTGACAAATTGGAATATAACATTACTATGTTTTCACGAACTGAGGTTAAAATGGAATCGCTTCGAACGAAATATGAAACACTATGATTCTATATTACATTCATTTGCAGATATAGTAATTGCAGGTGTATTATAATGCCATATCCAATTACAATGACATTGTGATTTACTGGATTTCTATATTATTTCTACCACAATTAATGAGGTTACAATTATGTATATAACGTATGATATCATGCTGGCAACGGACCATTATTTGATACACACTACGAGACAATGTCGTCAAGTCCTCTCATGGGATTGACAGTCACTTTGGAGACATCACAGGCAACATCAGCGCTCTTCACAACATAGACCTAAGCCAGGGGTCACCAAACTACGGCCCGCGGGCCGGATCCCAAGTCCTCCCCGGCTCGTGGTAGTCTGCCACGCTCTGATGTTACCAGAGCTGTTCTGGCTTGAGTATTGAACAGAATATGATGCCGGGCTCGCCTCTTTCAGTTATCCGGCCCACTGTGAAAAAGTTTGGTGACCCCTGACCTGCAATGAGGTCAATATACGTTATATATATATATATATATATATATATATATATATATATATATATATATATATATATATATATAGATAGATAGATATATATATATATAGATATTTTTTTTTTTTTTTTTTTTTTATAAGTCCAGGAAAGTTACTCTAGACCACTAGGACACTGCAGTCCTAGACTTTGTTATATTTCACACAAAGCCTGTTCATCGAGCTTATGGCGCCGTGAACCTCCAATAGGGGACTATCCGTGCCTCGTAAGTGATCAGAGTAACGTTGATTTATAGTTATACTGTTATTCAACGTGTGACCGGCGTCTCACTGACCAGCTAAGTGAGAGTAAAAGAAGCTTGGAATTCTCGCAAGGGGAAATAAGTGACTTACAAGCAAAGTTGAACGTTGAAGCCAAAAGAGAGAACCGAACACTCAAGACCCAAGTTCAACAGCTGAGTGAGGAGAATTCCAAGCTCAAAACGGAACTAATAGCAGCAGACCGGGTGGATTATGTATGGATGACATAGAGGCGACGAAACATCTCAGGATTGCCGGAGTCCTGAAGATATCACAAGAACTGGGGTCATCCCAACGCAAAATTCACGCCTGCTGAATGAATATTTTAAACTTCCTGAAGTAAAGTTTGACGTGTTTCAACGCGTCCCGGGAAACCCAACTCCTCCCGCCCGCGCGACATCAAAACAAAATTCTCATTCCCTCTGACCATGACAAAGTGTTTTATCAACGCAGTAAACTGAAAGGCACCACTATCTTCGTCAACGATGGTCTGTGCCCAGGTACGACTAAAGCCCGTCTACAGCAAATGGACCAGTTTAAAAAGCCAGGAAACAAAACACGTGACGTTCAGTCATAAAACTCTTGTTGTGAGGATTGGGTAAAGTGGACACCCGCCCACCCGCTGTACCAACCCCCACCCAAGCCTCTCGAGAACCCCTCCCCACTGAGGAACCAGCCACTGTCGCACAATGCCTGAGAAGTTTCCCCTGCCGGCCAACTCGAATACTACGTCTACCCTCTGTGGTGAAACCAGCAACCCTCAAAACCAGTGACAGGCGCACCTCCCACTCTATCTAGGTATCACCCTCAACAGTACCGGTCATCGAATTTTGTTCGTTGTAGCACTTGTGAGTACGTTAACCCCCCACCCCCACCCCCACCCCACAATTATAATTTTCGTAGATCTTCCTTTTTCACCTCAGTGACCCTGAGTTTTCACTGTTCCTTAATCAGTATCAGTGTTCCCACAATGACGATGCTAGTGTCATTCCCTTAGATGTGCTAGATCGTATGTAAATTTACACCCATTTACCCATTATTGTCGATACAATACTCCCTCATATCGATCTGATGCCTTTCTGCAAAACTTATTGGGTTACACACAACCCCCAACTGTAACTATTGCTTTCCTGACTCTCCCGAGTTTAGTTCTAGATCTCCTTCTCCTTGATTAGCCATAACATCAGCAGTATTCCCCTTCATCTAGAAACCTTTTGGATCAGTTTTATCTTCTATTGCCTAAATTCGATGTGCTTTTGGTTCTGTAGTAAACTCACTAACGATATTGAACATTTATATAACATTCTAATTATAGTAGACACTGCATCAACTTACGTCACGACACAGTGGTGGTGTCGCCCTGCTATAATGTTGATATCAAAACTTGCATAACACTTCTGTAAGAGATGATTTAAAGGTTCAGGAGGAGTACATGGAGAGTGTTTTCATTGGATTACGTAACGACACACGAAATATCCTAGAAGGAGTAATCTACAGAAGACCCCACACTAATGTAAGGAATTTTTTTGATAAATTTTCGAAGCTTATCACTATCATAAGTTCAGAGAGGAAACGTTGCTACATTACAGGAGATTTCAACCTTGATCTATTAAAATCAGAAACCGACACCTCAGTATTAGACCTTCTTGCTATCTGTCATTCTAAACTCTTCTTCAACACTATAACCAAACCCACTAGAGTAACTGCCACCTCTGCCACTGTGATAGATCATATCTGGACTAACAACACTCTTAACAATCTTGCAAGTGGAATTATTTACAACAATATCTCAGATCACTTCCCAATTTTTGCCATGTATAAAACAGCCACAAGACCTGAAAGGTCTAGTAGAGTCTCAATCCAATACAGAGACTACGGCACAGACAACATGCTCCTTTTTGAAAACAACCTAATGAATGCTAACGTGAACAGCTGCAACTTCTCAGGCATCTTCAATGCTTGCTTTGATAAATGCTTCCCGCTCAAGACTAAGTCAGTGAAAACTGTATCCATTTCCAAACCCTATATCACAAGCGAAATTAAGATGATAAAAGAAAAACACAAACTCCAAAGGAAATTTGCAAAAATGACCCATAACTTTCGGTGATGCTTACAGAAGTATCAGAAAGAAAGTAACTCAAGCAGCTAGAAATGCCAGACGTAGCTATTATACAAATAAGCTCCAGTCAGCATTAGGCGACAGTAAGAAAACCTGGAATGTCATAAATTCTATTCAGAACAGGAACACTCAGCCTTCAGCCCCCCACTCACCTTTTATGATAAATGATTTAGTTGTAACGGCAAAAATCTTTCAAAGAGCATCCCTAATCACCATGAGGAATTTCGAGTCTACCTGCAAAACAGACAGCAAAATGAGCTGTCCTCTTGTTCAACCTTAATGCTGTACAACCCATGCTGTACTGCTCACCAATTATACTTATGTCTCAGCAGATGAAACAGTGGCCATCATAAAAAAGTCCAAAGATGCAGCAGCAGGCGAAGACAATATACCAATGAGCATCATTAAGAAAGTAGCCCACTTATTACTACCTGTTCTCCTACACATTTGTAGCTCCTCCTTCACTAGTGGTGTCTTTCCGGATAAACTGAAAATTGCTAAAGTTCACCCAGAATATAGAAAATCTGGGGACAAAGGGCTCTTCAAGAATTACCGCCCCATATCAGTCCTCCCAGCCTTGAGTAAGATACCGGAGAAGCTAGCATGTAGTAGACTAAATTCCTTCTGCAATGCCAATAACATCTTTACAGATTCTCAGTTTGGATTTAGAGCTAGAAGGTCGGCTGAGAATGCTCTGCTATCCTTTACTAATAACATCTTAAATTCCTTTGATGACATTCAGTTCAAAGTCGGTATATTCTTGGACCTCTCTAAAGCCTTCGATACTGTCGACCATACCATCTTCCTTTCAAAGCTTGAACATTACGGCGTTAGGGGCCTGTCCCATAATTGGTTTACCTCACAGCTGTCCAACAGGATGCAGTATGTCTGCTATAATAATCACCAATCTGACTCCTTGCCAGTCTTGTATGGCGTCCCCCAAGGTTCCATTCTCGGTCCAGTACTGTTTTTGTTGTACAAAAATGACATAGTCCACTCCAGTACACTTACAAATTATTTGCAGACGATAGTAATCTCTATGCCAACAACTCAGACCTCCATTCCTTGATGAAAACTATGAACACTGAACTGACAAAAGTCAGGACCTGGGTAATACGTAGTAAACTGACCTTAAACCTTGAGAAAAACCACTACACGATCTTTCACAGAAGGAAAAACTTACCCCAGACTTGAACCCCCTGTACCTTGGTAATATAGTCATCAAACGCGAAGAAAATACTAAATTCCTCGGAGTTATTGTTGATGAGAAACTTAACTGGAGAAACCACATACAAGCTATTCACAATAAAGTCAATAAACCGTGCAGTATGATGTATCACGCTCGACAGTCACTCACTCTCACAGCATTTTTTTTTTTTGGGGGGGGGCACTCCCCTACATCCTTGTGTAAAGTGAAACGCAGAAGAGTTTACAGTGCCCAACAGGGAAGCATGCTAAGTTCATGCTTGCCTTTATGTCTCATGAGTTAAGGGCATAGAAGCCTGAAGAGTCAAGGGCATAGAAGCCTGAAGAGTCAAGGGCATAGAAGCCTGAAGAGTCAAGGGCATAGAAGCCTGAAGAGTCAATGGTTTATGTCATCAAGTTATTGGAAGCTCCAACAACTTGTCTCTGAATACGAATTCGCAACTTTCGATTTACACTAGGTACCTACTTTACTGCTAGGTGAACAGGGACTAATGGGGGCTAGGAAGTATGTCCAAACAACTTCCACCAGCCCGGGAATCGAACCCGTGACATCTCGCTTGTGAAGGCAAGAAGAACAGTACTACTCTACCACCAGCACCCCCTCTCACAGCAATGAAAGAAATCTATCATGATCTTGTTTACCAACGCCTGATAAACTGTCACACAATATGGGGGGGCCTGTGGCTCTTCAAAAACACAATCTCTGGTTACTGCACAAAAGAGAGATGTACTGACAATGACCTACTTGAAAAAAACAGATCACACAAACGGAATAATCAGAGATACAACTTAAAGCAAACAGAGCTACTAAGACCACCCCACAATGCGCTCCTCTCACTCCCAGACATCCATAAAATATCACGGTGTGAAGGTGTGGAATAACTTACCCCACCCATCCGACTAATGACTACGCTCCCGTCCTTGAAATCATCTCTTTAAAAAATATTGATTGTCTAAGTATTAACATTTCTTGTAACACCTACTATATTAACAGTACCTGCTTCTATTGCACCTTCAAAACCGATTTATCGGAAATTATCATGTAAATAGATAAGAAATTACCATTGCAATAAACATAATTGCCAACTAGACATAATCCTGACAGCTCTGTCCTCTTGTTCAACCTTATTACTGTACAACCCATGTTGTACTGCTCCCCCATTATACTTATGTTTTTTCAATTCCACTGTAATTTATGTATATATATTTATAAATAAGAAAAATAAACTAAAAAAAATAATAAATAAATAAAATAAATAAATATTGAAGTGATAACCGTGGTAACATTGTAAGATGTTCTTATTACCACCATGCTATTGTACTATTCTAGATGTTACTAAATGTTACATAATACTTCCTTGAGATAACAGTATAGTATATATCAGGTGCCTACAAGAGAGCTCAGGTTCTCAACTGGCTCAGCCATGTTAATATTGTTATTATTATCCACTCTGTATCTGTGTTTTTCTGGCTAAATAAACTGTTTCAATTCAATTCATTTCAATTCAAGTTCAAAGATTATAAAGTGATGGGACAGACAGTTTATAAAGATGTTTGACATACAATTAAAAAAATTTTGTACACTCTTTATATTATACCTTGATGGGACACAGTTCATATAGTGCAGAGATACAACCTTAAAGCAGCATAGAGCATATTACAGGGTGTCCATAAATGATTACCCTGATTAAAGTCATGATCTACCAATGTTGTAGGGTAATCATTTATGGACACCCTGTATAAAGTATATGAACACTATTTACAAACGGGTCACGGAGTTTATTTATTGCTGGGACACAATTTCTAAAGTGTTGCGACAGAGTATATGAAATTTTTAAAACGTCTTGGGGTACAATCTTCAGAAAATGTTGGGCCATTTCATTATTAAATGTTGAGACAAATGTTACAAAGTGTGGAGACAAAGTTTATAGTATCAG